GTCTCTCTGTCTCTCTCTCATGCCTCTCTCCATGCCTCTCTCTCACGCCTCTCTCCATGCCCACCTTGTGCTGTCTCAACACATGCCATGCAGCTGCTACTCCAGCACCACGCCCGCCCGCCTGACTGGTGCCATGCTCCCCGGTGATCATGGACTCTTAACTTTTTATACTTAAGCCTCATGTTCTACGAAGTGAGCTGCCCAGGCACCTCTTTCATACGTTTATCAGTTATGGATTAAGATGAATATTGGCAAGAATAATTAAATAATGAAACTCTGCATGCATGTCTGTGCATGAGTGCATGTGTGTATACGTAATGGAGTAGTCCCGTCAGTTAGTATAGCTAGTAGCGCCGCAAGTTTCAAGGATTATGAATTGAAGAAAAAAAAATAACATAATCCTGTACTGATTCTTTGGGAATTTCATATCATATACCCCAATCCCGGTCACCTCTCAGCCCCTTTACATCCTCACTCACCCCTGCAGCATCCTCCCCCCAAAAGTCCCTCCAGAGAATGAATTAAACAAAACAAACCAAAAACCTCTATTGTGGGATAATCATTTTGTATACTATGAGGATGTGTCCTTGCCAAGGTACCTTCTGTCTCGTTTAATAAAGAGCTGAATGTCTAATAGCTAGGCAGGAGAGGACAGACAGGATTTCCAGGGAGAAAGAGGAAGAGGAGATTAATCTAGGTGTGCAGAGAGGTCAGTGAGACATAGACCAAGTAGGATACAGAATGGAGGAAAGGTATAAAAGCTGTGTGGCAGAATGTAGATAAACAGAAGTAAGTGCCTCAAAAATCTACACAAAGAACAACTTCAGAGATACTAGCGGAGATGGTCCAGCTTCACAGACTATCCAGCCAGGACTTCATATAAGCCCTGCAATTTCCCATCACACAGAGACTAAACAAAAATAACACAGTTAGCTATCCCAGGACTTGACCATTATCCCAATTTTCTCAGGGTTCCCTAAAGATGTCATCATCCCCGAACAACAGGAAACAGTCTAAAGAACACAATACCAACATTCCCAAGAGGTGGGGTGGGTGGGTTTTGGTCATTCAGTGGGTTATAAATGTTCATCACCATTTAGTGGGGGTGGTTTCAAGTTATTACTGGTAATGGTCAGGAAAACAACTAAACAGAACACATTAGATTCAGAGATCTCTTTCTGAAAAGAAAAAAAGAGAAAATTATTGACTACTTTTAAACAACAAAAAAAGCAACTACTAATCTCAAATATTTTACATTGGCATGGATTTTTGAATACTGATACAAATTTATCACACTGTGCATATGTTTCTACTCTTGTTTAAGACATTGTACCTGGGACTGGAGAGATGGCTCAGAGGTTAAGAGCACTGACTGCTCTTCCAGAGGTCCTGAGTTAAATTCCCAGCAACCACATGATGGCTCACAACCATCTAAAGTAAGATCTGGTGCCCTCTTCTGGCATGCAGGCAAACATACAATGTGTATGTAACAAATAAAATCTTAAAAAAAAAGACACTGTGCCTATGCAGTTCATTTTAAAAATGTAAAGTTATAGTCCTGAGAGGCTATCATTACAAACTGTTTAGGATAATTGAAAAACTCAGGTTAAGTAGTTAGTCTTCTATAACAATAAAAAAATTTAGTCACGTCAGCCATGCTCTCAGGATTAAACAGATAACAGTTAGGCAGATGGTCTTCAAACACTTCAGAGACCTAAACAGTATGGCATTTAAGATGTTTTCATAGTGTAAGGCTTTCCATGACAGTGAGACACGTCTGCTCCTGGAAGCGCCTATCGACTCCAAAGGACCTCCATGTGGTATTTGCTTTCAATGTGTCAAAGCTAGCCACTGGGCAAGAAACTGCCCTTGCCTCTACTGCTGGCAGTAGCTTTCAAAGTTGGACAAGAAGGACACCAAAGAAGGTAACTGTCAAACTTTGCCAAGACAAGGTAGGACATTCCTCCAAATTCCTGTTTCACAGAAAAATCTGTCATATATTCTAGGCCTGCCGGCCAGAGATGGGTGCCCCAACATTGCAGAGGACCCTTGGGTGACTGTCCAGGCAGCCAGCTGTCTCTGTCGTTTCTACAGTTTTGGAAGTTGTTTGCTCTGCACTTCCTGTTTACTCAGGTAGTGTTATGTCCTTCTTGGGTCTCTGACGGGAACTCAAGTCTAGATAGTTATACCATTTTGTTACCAAATTTAAAAAATTCTTTCAAAAGAGATGTAAAGTTTATGAAGGTTGAGAGACATAAAAACAGTAAGTCATTTATCTAAGAAAATATTTTAAGGTCTAAAGGATATTCTTAGGTTGGTAATACGAGTTATTATAGAAAGCAGTTTATAGGGATTCAAGATACGATAGATAATGGGAGTATTTTCTCTGAATTTGGGCTGGACATAGTGAATGTAATTCTTACCTGATAAATGTTCTCACTGTATAAAGTTTTACTGTGTTAGGGTTAAAGCCTATCCTTTTTATGTAGACAAAAGGAAGGAAATGTGTGGGATAATCTTTCTGTCCACTGTGAAGATGTGTCTTTGCCAAGGTGTTTTCTGACGGGTTTAATAAAGAGCCGAATGGCTGATAGCTAGGCAGGAGAAGACAGACGGGGGGGGGGGGGGGGGGTAAAGGAGATGAATCTAGGTGCATGGAGATGCTAACAAAATGCAAGCCAAGTCAGACAGACAGAATGGAGGAGAGGTTTTAAAAAAAAAGTCACATAACAAGACATAGGTTAATAGAAACAGGTTAACTTAAGTTGTAAGAGTTAGCTGGGGACAAGCCTAAGCTACAGGCCAAGCTTTCATAACTTTTCAGTCTCTGTGTCATTATCTGTGATCTGGCGATCCCGAAAGAAAGTCAAACAAAACACCTCGCTCCTCCATCTTTCCAATTCCTCTTCATCCATGCTGGTGTCACTGGGCACTACGGTATGTCACACAGTATACACCCGTTTATCCAATCCACCGCCAACATCAACAACGTTCATGGCACTGAGTCACTGGTGTGGTTCAAGGCCTCTGGCACAGCATCATCAGTGGACCCTCACCAAAACTCCTCTCAGATATCCTGCTGCTGCCCTAAGTCATGGGGAGCCGGAAGTTATTGCTCCACAGGACCAATCCCTTCACGAGCTCCGGCAGGACACAGATGGGGTCGATGACAGGATGGGCCAACCTAAGGCCCAGGATGCAGATCTGGGTGACAGCTGTGCTAGTCAGCTTGGACCACTGGGTCCACCCCCACCTCGGGTGAGGAGCAGAGCCAGCTCTCCTAGACCTGTGACATCAGGGCCAGCTCTTTCACGCCCCTGGTGAGGGGTGGGACCATCTCTTCCGAGTGTGGGAGCCAGCTCTCCCATGGGAGATTGGCCAGCTCTGCTGTCATGTCCAGCGAGGGGCAAGACTGGCTGTCCCAGGGCCAGTGATGGGCAGGGCCAGCTCGGCATGGTCCTTTGATTTTTAACATGAACCATTCTTATGACCCCCTGTGGGAACGCAGGCCATGGACATCATCACAGACCCCAAACACAGGTACACAGCCCCAGATGTGGCTGGCCCTTGGCAGTCCAGGACCCCTGTGGCAGCCCAGGCCACTCAGATTAGTATGGCCCCAGCAGCAACAAGACACCAACCTGGTCTCAGGTAACTTGTCCAGACCCCGGGCATCTACACAGCCCTCAGTGGTAACAAGAGCTATGGATATCAACTCAGAACCTTGGCTGCTGCTGGGTCACAGAGGCCCAGATGTGGCCCTAGGCAGCAGCCCAGACTTGAACGACACCATGGCCTTGGGTGGCAACACCGGCCAACCAGATTGGCATGTCCCCAGTGGCACAGCCCTCAGACAGAATTGGAGAGGGAATAAAGAAAAAAAGGAAAGAAACCTGGTTTCTCTGTGTAACAGCCCTGGCTGTCCTGGAACTTGTTTTGCAGACCAGCCTGACTTCAAACTCACAGAGATCCACTTGCCTCTGCCTCCCAAGCACTGGGATTAAAGGGGCATGCCACCCCCACCTGGCACGGGGGAGATTTTAAAAGCATATACGCACACAAAATGGCATCATACATATACAAACATAAATGCCTAGTTATTCATTTCCTCATTTTAAAAATTGCTAGACAACCTCTGTAAGCCGGGTACCATCTCGTGAGAGACCAGCACTGAGAAAAATCAGGATGAAATTCAGCTGTGAACAAACCCAAAATTCCCATGCAGCCTTCACAGTACAGTTGGGGTGGATGAATACAGATGACCGGTAAGCTAACAGCTAACGTCACGGGCGGTATTAGCAACCGCCAATCACACAAAGAGCCAGGCGGCGGCAGCTTTAGGCAGCGCGGTCCCGGGGTTCACTGAGCGATTGCCGTGTGGAGCCAGGGGGGCACACACGTGGGCATCTACGGCAGGGAGGATCAGTGTCCACCTGCTTCGGTGCAAGGCTTAAAGCCAGAAAAGGCAGGCAGGCAGGCAGGCAGGCAGGCTGCTGGTGCTGGCCAAGGGAGGAGGAAACGGTGAGTAGGACAGTTGCTCATGAATGGGTTTCGAGCACCGGAGAGGCATGATTTCTGTTCCAGCCGGATCCCTCTGGCTACAATGCAGAAAGCTTAACAAGCATCAGCTGTCATGGCACGGGCATGTAGTACCCACCACAAAAGAGGCAGTGAGCATTGGGAAGGAGGGAGTAGCCAACAGCCGTCCGTTTGGACTTAAGGCTCCTCGCTTGGAGGGAAACCACGCACGGAAGCCAGGGAGGGACTGCTTCTGTCCAGACGAGAGACGAAGGTCTGACCAGCACCTCCACGGCTGAGCTACCGCAGAGGTCAACACAGGGCAAACTCACGGAAGCGTCGACAGTGGGTGGCTTTCGGCTGCACCCTAGACTTTCTCAGTACTCACCGCGCTGGGGATGCCGAGTTCTGAGAGGGTGCAGGCGGCAATCACTTGGAGAGTGGAGAGGGAAACGGAAAACACCGCACGTAGCCTCACTTACCCAAATTGGGATCCGGAGCCTGGCGTTTCTTAATTTTAGCTTCAGAAATAGCGGAGTAATAGGCACAAGTCATCTTGATCAGCCACGTTGCTCGAACCATTGGCACAGAGTACTTAGCTAAATATGCAAAAACGTCCTCTTTTTTACTAAGGATGGGGACCTATAAAAGCAATAACACAGAGCAATCACACACTATCGAACTGCCAGGCAAACTTACAGAGAATGAAACAGGAAAAGGGCTGGAAGTTATTTGCTGCTACGAGGAAGAGAAAGTGTGTCTGACACCTTTTCAAGCAGCGCATGTGTTTTTTAAAGGGGGAAGGAACTTTAAGCCAGTTTTCGTTAAGAAACAAAAATCAAAATTGTGTTTACCATGTGGCAAAGTGGTTATCAGCTGTGCCTTCTTATTTATAAAACAAAGTCTTGTCACATTCTCAAATGAGGAAAGTTATCTGCCTTATGAATACACGGGGGGAAGGGGGATAATTTCCTGGTACTCTTCCAAATGATTTATCTCAAAATTGGATGGGAAAGACCAGATCAGACAGGATTTGTCGCCATTCTGCATTTTATCCACGGACACTTTTCTGTATGAGGCTTTCTAACTAACTGCAGCGTTTCACAAAAGCAACAATTTCCGGAAACTTATCTGAAAGTGACTTTAGCCCAAAATATTAATTAGAGTCTAAAATGATGGATCAGTGAATCTGCCTAACACACACTGAGCTACAATAGCTGGGCAATTAACTCGCTGGCTGAAGTAGACACTTGAGGCTGTTAATTATTTCTCCAAGACCACAAAGGTACAATTCAGCAAATTAATATCCAAGTGTACCAGTAGATGGCTTGAAAGAGTTAATTCGCTCTTCCCGAGCACCTCATAAACATCCTATGAACAAGCCTGTTAGTCTATGTAGTCTATCCAATGTACGAACACAGCGGAAAAAGGCAGCAAGGGTACGTTTGTTACAATGCAGCATAAGGAGCATGCACTCCTTACGCCACAGCAGGGTGACCGCTTCTGTAAAACTAGGCTTTTCCCAGCCAAGCCCATCACTCTCCAGCTGTTTGTGAATTCTGATGATACCAATCCCATGCACCTCACACAGTGGGTATTCTGGTTTCTTTTTAATGTGTGTAAAAATTATAGCAATAAGGATTTTGTCACCAGATTAGGGATTTGTTTATACTAGCCCAAGTGTTTTAATCCCATGGATTTGGCCCCTTCAAAAGAAGACACTGGAACCGAGCCATGGATAAAGAAACCTGATCTCTCTCTCTCTACCCCAAAAGTCAAAGTTGAATTTAGGTTGCAAAAGCTTCGCTTCAAATCTGCCAATTCATATAGCAGAGGATTTTTCTACTAGCTGTGATCCCTAGAATTAAAAAGTTTTAAGGAATATACATATATATACATATGTACATGCATACATACATATGTATATAACTCTCCTAAAAACAAGCTATTTCAGTTGGTTCTCTCCAAAGAAACACTGAGCTGTTCCAATGCTGAAGGAACACTTGCCTGCCTTGGTCAATGGGGTGTAGTGTGTTCACACTGTATTTACAGAAAACTGAAGACTTTCTGATCAGGGGCATTTGCTGCCTTGTGTGCTGAATTTAGAACATCGCTCCCCATGACACAGAAAACTACACTGCACGAGCAAACTAACAGGAGGCAAAAAAAAAAAAAAAAATATGTGGGCTAAAGCTTCATCTCAAAACAACACAGCGGGGCATTCTCATGAGAAAAACGTCCCGCAAGTTTAGAATTCATGGAACTCGGTCTCTGTTTTTACTAGCATTTAAGACAGAGACAAGAAAAACGCAGGGTCAGACATCCGGCTCAAGACCTGATGCTTGTCACTAGAATACAAAATGTGGAGCTAGTAGCTTAAATTGTACCAGTCCAGGTCAGCTGGCCTTTCATCCGTACACACGGAAAAGACGTCAGAGCAAAGCCTAAAAACGCAGATAAATGCAAAGTTCAAGTTGGCTTCTCCAAAGAGTCCTGTTAATAGTATCTTTCATAGATGACCAAAGGATTTCTTTAAATGGCAACTGTTAAGAGGGGAAAAAGGCAAACGGTTGAAATTTTTGAAATGTTTAGATAAAATAGAATACAAAACTGAGTCACAGATCTTACATAAACAGCACAGGACAAAACAGTGAAACCTTGAGTTGAGTCAAGACAGGGTTGCGATATCCAAACAAACAGATGTGAAGAGAATTACTTGATTAAGTGAGAAGATATATAGAGATGGTTTTGTACAATCTGCAGTTTGGGCCAACTTGGGGAGGAAATGATGTTTTCTAGTGATTCTTCTTTTATAGTGATGAATTCTATTTTTTCAGTAAAACGCCTGACATAAACTTGAGACACTGAATTTGGGCAATCACTGGGCAGTATTTTAGCTTCTAGATCAATCTAGAGCTGAAAAGGAAGTTGAGATGCTAAGTGTGTGCTTCTTGCATGTACACAAGGCTATCTATTGCTAACAAGTCTCCCTTGGATGCTCACCACCATCGACATCTTCCGTTATCTTATGGGGACCAGAAGGAAGGGAATTCTCAGACCACAGTAGCCAAGGGCACCTGCATAAACAGGTAAGAGCTAGCCAACTGTTCAAGAGTTAGAAGAATATCCCTGGTTGCCACAATTTTCCTCTTACAAATCGAGTAATGGTGAGGACTGAATGAAAAGTCCTTTCCAGGCACCTCGAGAGTGCTGCTTAACTTTAGACTACTGGGAAGCCATGCCGGACACATAGTCCGTCCCATGTAGGAAACTATTCTAACAGCTGGGGAAGAGCTGGAAGATGACTCCAGATCACAGCACCGTTCCCTGCCTTAAGCCCACTTACACATAAACATCAGAAATTGACTAAGTGGCTGAATATGAAGACCATGTAGAGAATCTGGTCCTTTACCCAAATCTGCAAGAGCTTTTGCCATTTTCAAAAAGGATGAAATTCTGAGAAGATGAGAAGAAGGGACTCCCGGAATGCCTAACACATGAATACATCAGAGTCAATGTTTTATAGAGAAAAAAAATGTCTGTGTTTGCAAAGAATTAATGCCAGAGCTTACCTGAGGGACACCTGACTTGGCCAGGGGCAGCTCCTAATAAAGAAAGAAGAACAATGGCTAATACGGCACACCATGAGTCATCGCCCTCTTAAAAGACAAGAGACCCCTGCACCCGTAAAGCACGGAAACCAATTCCTTATCAATAGTCGCTTTAAGAAAGCATCCCAAAAGTATTCTTAGAGCGGTTAACAAGGGGAAACTTTAAAGGACACCCAGCTGACAGCACAGAGGAGAGGCTGTGGATCGGTGTCAAAAGCCTTCAAACTCTGCAGGATGCTCTTTGGCTCGCATGGCCTTCGGGGACAATCAATCCGTGGGCCACGGTGAGACCACAGACAGAGATTAGCACGGGGCAAGAAGTGCTCCAGCCCCGCAGGTCAGGCAGGTTGAGACAGTGGCACTAACTCTGTGGGAAGAGTTGGTCACACTTAAACAAGTGTTCTTCAAAGGCTCCAAGTGCCTTTCGCTTCTATTATCTATCTATTCTATTATCTACCTATCTATCTACATATCTATCTATATATCTATCTTCTACCTACCTATATCTATCTATCGTCTATGAGAGGCATGCAGTATCAAGATATTATAGCAAAATAAAGCCAATGGAGGATGCAGGCACTATTTTCAAAGAGTCGCTTTCAAAAACAAACAGGCAAGTATCCCGAGGCATCCTCTTCTGGGCTGGCATACTTAGAACAGAAGACCGGCAGCTCCTAAAACTCGGGGACTCCAGGGGAGATGAGAAGAGACATCTGGGACTACCTCAAGGGCATACAAGAAGTCACAGATAAAGACTAAGAGGGAGACTTCTAACTTCTTTGAAACTTTCAAAGGACATCTTGCATTGTTCTGACCACAAGATTGTTAAACCTATATATGGACTATTCCCACTGAAGAGAATTTCTAGAGATAAAGATTTTTAAAAGAACCTCCAATCACTCCACACACATCCTTGTTTAAAAAAAAAACCCCAGGAAGTTATAAATAAATTTGCCTGTTTTGTTTAAAATATTTTTTTCATACTACAAAGCACACCCAGAATAAAACTCTTCATCTTGCTTGACAGTAAGACTTAGCATAAAGGCATTTTGCGTGTGTGTGTGTGTGTGTGTGTGTGTGTGTGTGTGTGTGTGTGTGTGTGTGTGTGTGTGTGTAACTCCCAAGTGCTGGACAGGAGCCTGGGATGGGTATTTTGTATTTTGACAGACAAGGGAATAATCTCAAAGGGATCTTTTTTGCCATATCTTAGACATCTTGATTTAAGAAAAGTAAAAGTGTAACGGGAAAAAAAATGAAGCCTTATTGCCTGCTTTTATACTTCAAGATTATGCTTAAGTCCACCTAAAGTGCTTCTATCCTAAGAAGATCCTCTAGGCTCTCAGGCGCCCCAAGCACCCCGTGTAATCCAAACCTAGAGGGAAGGAGGCAAGAACAGCGCTCTCTGCTGGTGTGGGCCTGCAGCTGAGCGTGCGGCCTGCAGCGAGCGCCCGGCCTGCGCAGGAACCAGGGGAAAGTAAATGCACGTGAACATCGTGTCAAACAGCTTCACCTAACAAAACTTGTAACTGTAACAACGGAAGAAAAACGCTCGGTACCTTTTTTGCCAAAACAGCAAGTGGCTTATTTCCAGCTAGGTCAGAGAACCAACTGTGAATGGCGCTCTGAGACCGAGCAGTGACCAGCCAATAGTTATCTTTGGCATTCACTTGGGGCTTCTTCTTGCCGGTGTCCTGGAAAGTGTTAAGCTTCAGTTTCTCGGCCAATATGCTGCTGAAATAGGCGCCGATCTGCAGAAGAGACGGAGACGAGAGACAGTGCGTAAGGACGGTGTGCAGCAGCTACCTTAGCAGTGCAGATTTTCACCTTGACTTCTCAGTAAGAGCTCTACACGGCCCACCAGAGAACAAAATAAAGGCAAAACCGGACTTCCAGACAGTAAGTCCTGAAGCCCGATGGCGTGATCGCTGTCCAGTCACACAATGCAGAACTCACGCAGCACCTCTTGCCCCATTGACCCCCAAACAGCAGCAAAAGAAGAGAGAAACAAAGGAGTCTCTGGGGGCACGGAGCTAATTCCATCAGGACGAACTCTCTCCTTTGCCAGGCTGCACACCGCACAGCAGAGAGAGTGAGCCCCACCCCACACAGGGGCTCACTGGAGCAGGGAGAGAGCCTGGGAATGGAGGAGAGCATTCTTCCTGTTTCATCCTAACAGCGCGTGCTTTTAGCAAGGAAGTTCCACGTTAACACCTGAGGTTACTTCCTTAAAGAACCTAGAGCAATTCATTTGAAAGGAAAATTGCAAAAGGCAGAGGTAAACTAGGTGCCCGGATATCCTATCGTTTCGTGTCATCTACAGTTTAGGGTGGGCAAGGAGCAGGATGGGGAGGTGGCCACGGGCAGCGGGGCGGGGACAGATTCAGTAAACCCATAGGAGACCTGTTAAGAGTTTGCAAGAATCCAGAAGGGTTCCCATTTTGTTTCACGAGAGTCTTTCTATCATATGATGCAAACAATTTCCAAGAACCACCCACCGACAGTTAGCAAACAGTAGCAATTTAAGTGAGATAAGGCGGATACTCTGGAAAAATCCAAAAGTCAAAGTCCCACCTTAGTTAAAAGTCAGAGTAAGGGGGCTGGAGAGATGGCTCAGAGGTTAAGAGCACTGACTGCTCTTCCAGAGGTCCTGAGTTCAATTCCCAGCAACCCCGTGGTGGCTCACAACCATCCATAATGAGATCTGGTGCCCTCTTCTGGCGTGCAGACATAAATGGAGGCAGAATGTTATTTTCATAATAAATAAATACATCTTTTAAAAAAAGTCAAAGTAAATCTCACACATGGCCTGACCCCCATTTGACTGGTGCCTTTAGTGGAGATTATCCTCAGGACAAAAAGCTAGCACAACTTCTTTGTATAATATGAACAGAAGCTCCCTGAGTTGAAAAACGGTAAAAAAAAAAAAAAAAAAAAAAAAACTGTGGTGGTTTGAATAAGCATGCCCCCCACAGGCTTCTGGATTTGAATGCTTGAGTCATTGGGAAGTATCACTACCTGAGAGGGATTAGGGTTAGGAGGTGTGGCCTTGCTGGAGGAAGTCTGTCACTGAAGGTGGGCTTTGAAGTTGTAAAAAGCCCATGTCAAGCCCTAAGTCTCTCTCTCTGCCGATGGGTCGTGATGTGGGTCTCAGCTATCACTCCAGTGCTCATCTGCATACCACCGGGCTCCTTGCCACGATAAAAATGGACTTAACCTCTGAACTGTAAGCCAGTGCCAACTAAATGCTTTGTTTTATAAGAGCTACCGTGGTCATGGTGTCTCTCCACAGGAGTAGAACAGTAACTAACAGAAACTAGAGAAAGCACAAAAACAGATGAGATTTGGGTTCTCAAACAAAATCACTAAAGTTTTTTCTGTTGAAAGGAAATGTTTCTAGAACTTTCCGTAGATAAATTAACTAGACGCGGAACCAGTTGGTTGCACACAAGCTGTCACTAGGGGCAAACTGTTCGATTTTAAACTTCTTAACGGACACTTTGTCTTTCTACCAAGGGCACTAAACAACTGAGAGTGTATGCTGCTATGCATTAAAGAGACCTCTAAGTTGCAATTACATCTGGTTTGTTCATCACAATGAACAAGGGTATAAAAATGAAAAGAAAATCACTCTAAGGAGTCAATGTACCCTCTTAATAATGGAAAAGAAAACTGAATATAAATGTTTTATAATTCTCCTTGGTGAATCTTGTAAATAAATTCATACTGTAAGCAAAGTCAAAATCCCTAAATAAGCAAGACGGGAGAAATGCACATTAAGGCTCAAAAAAAAATGTCTAAAAAAGACTGGTCTCACGCTGGTCTGGTGTATGGCCTCTGTCCCTCACCCAGTGCTAGGATTACAGGTTTGCTACCAACCAACTAGAGTGCTTAGTTTTCTTCTAACAGCAATATAGCTACAATATTCAAAAACCAGAAGATGCATTTTTTTAAGAGCCTCATTCTCAAAACCTAATCCCTGCCTCCCAGTGACCAATTTGATTAGTTCCTTAAGCAACCTTCCACTGTTACCAGCACTGACACAGGCAAACACCCAATTGCTGCTTTCCTTTCTGGCATATCTGGCTCACAATACAGTTAGCATAAGCATACCTACATGTGGAATCCACTTATTTGTATAGCTACACAATGGCGTTTTACATGGATGCACTGTCCTTTCCTTAAGTAAGAGAGTGTTAGCAGGCACCTGAGGTACCGGCTGTAAACATTAGTGTCATGCGTTGTGCTAACGTGAGCACCTTTCCCATTCATTACGCACAGGCACAGGACGGCTGCAATAAACTGGGTGGCACGATCCTGCAGTGTTAATTATACTGCCATATCACCCTTCAAAAGGTCTCATACCAATTTATACTCTTTCAAACAAAACGCTAAGGAGGTCAACGCGACATGTTTTTATCTTGTACTTGGGTAATAGCTCCTTTGATAAGAGCATGGGAAGGGTCGAGTGTTAAGCACTAAGATTCATACATTTCATATTAATGAAGTCAAATTCACATAAGAAGCATTAGGTGAATTTGAACAGACCTCACAGGGAAAAGTGGTCCGAGTTGTAGCAAGTATTATTTTTGTCAACCTGGCTACTTAAACTAACATAACATTTGACACAAAGAACCAAGAATTGAGCAGTTCATAACATAAAAATCCCTACTCTGTGATAGGAACTAAACTCTGAATACCCCAAATCCACGAGACCCTAACCCATTATGTTACAGCATTCACAACAGTCTCTTCTTTCACCTTTTCGATTTTATGAGTATTTGCATGTATAAGAGAAAAAGGGAGAGTGTGCATGTCATTAGCAGGAGGGGTGGCAGGCACATCCATGCCACAGCCTGTGGAGGTCAGAACACACGTTCCAGAAGGCAGATCTCTCCTCCTTAGTTGAGGCCAGGCCCGGGCTTTTATGAAGACAAGAGCTTCTAAGGATGCGCGAACAAAAGTGTGCAGAGATCAGGTGGGAGTCGCCTCCTCCCAGATACTTACAGACTGAAGCTCTCCTTGTAGACAGACCCATGCCCAGACGAGCCAGCCCTGCCTCCTAGGGCTGTCTGTCCATAACACACGCTGAATTTCCAGGTTGCTGGAAGTGCCCTCCACCAAAGCCAGCACGGCTCCCCCGAGCCCTCCATCAAAGCCGGCACCGCTTTCTGCACGGGTGCCTGGCACGGCTCACCCGAGCCCGGCTTTTCTGCACGGGTGCCCGTCATTTCAATGTACCTGGTTCCTTCTTTCCCCAGCTGCCCCGTTCGGGTATCCGGGAACAAGCCACTCGGGACATGGCAGTCATCCCTTAAGAAAGGCGAGCATGTTCTGGGCACAGGCGGGAAGGTGATGGTTCAAGAGCAGTAGGAATGCATGTGCTACACACTGTCTACACACTAAATCAGGCTGGGTGGCAAGCATGAAGCAGCTGAATTACACACGTAAAACTACGTGCTGATCACAAATGCATAATTGCGGTTGTAACACGGTGTGTATAGAGATCGCAAAAGACAAGCTCAAAAATGCTGTGTCTCGTCAGTGGGACTACACACACAACCACAGATATACTTTTGTCTTCCTTTACATTTTTTGGATAGTATTTCCACTGGCAATTTAGCAAGCAATTATTTGTGTGTTTTTGTGTTCTCCCTTGCATATATGATGCTTTTAACTTAATGAGAGTGAAAGTATTTTAATATAAGAGAATAATAATATAAAAAGAATTTAAAAATCAATCACTAAAAGAAAATACTATAAGCAAAAATACTCCTGTCTATATGTCCAATTGATACATGGAAAGAGATATTTAGTTCAACAAACTTTGAACATAATGTTCTGACTACAATTTTTTTGGACTTTTAATTAAAATAGAATTAATCACTTTCCCCCTTCTTTTCCCTCCTCCGGTCCCGCCCAAGCCTCTTCCCTCCAACTCTGACTATATAGTTTTAATGAACGTTGGTGTAGGCACAAAAGGTGTTACAGAAAAACTGTAAATCTTACACAGGAACTTGGTTGTTGTGATGCCAATGAGCAAAAAAGCAAAGCAAACCGTAGCACAAAGCCAAGTTTGCTGGCATGCAGGAATCAGTTCTCACTTCTGGGAAAGCAAGACACAAAGGCCAAACAGCAAGAGTAACGGAAGTACCACGTGGTGTGCGGTAGGCAGACCAAACAGGCAAGTTAGACAGAAGGGTCCATCCCCTCCGTCCACCGTAAGGGAATACTGCGTGATGTAAGGTTGGAAACGGTAACAACCGGTAGGCAGACCAATCAGGCAGAGGGTGCGTCTCTCCGTCCGCTGAAAGGGCGTAGGACTAACAGTACCCCAGAACTGCTGAGCGTGCCCAGCACGCAGCTCCAGACACACAGAACAGCGTGGCCCTGGAAGGTGTCGTGGGACACCGAGAATGGTGGGGTGCTTAACCAGGGCTTAAAAGGCCGCCACTGAGCAAATACTGGAAAACGTGGGCAGCCAAAGGAAAAATGAAGGCAACAAATCACAACACAGAAAAATAAAACCGGGAACCCATGAGGGGTACCAAAGCAATCCAGGTGACACTGAAACCATCGGAAGTGCACGGGCGAGCTCCTCACAAAAGAACCGGCGCTAACGCGCACCTGAGGAATGAAAGTAGGGAAAAGCGTGTCGGCCCCCAGCACAACAAACCTTCCGGCCAGAGCCACTGGTGAGCGAGGCTTGCCTGTAACCCAGCACACGGACACAGGGACAAGAACGCTGATGCAAATCCAAAGACAGTCTCGGTGCACACAGCAAGTTCAGGCCAGGCAGGGCTGCCTGGTGAGAAGCCAGCAAAAGAAAGAAAAAGAATGGTGGGATGTGTAACGGGAAAGAAAATACCATCAAATCATCGTGTGAAACATACAGAAATCTGGTTATTCACATAGTTTCAAAATAGCTTTATGAGGGGCTTTGGGTACAGCTGGCTCGGTGGCGGGACATATGTACAGGATCTGCAAGTCCTGAGTTCAATTTTAAAAAAGTCACACCAACTAGAGAGCACCAAGAAGTAGAAATTGCTGTTTTTTTTAATGTAGGAAGACAGTGGGCCTCATAATGGCTGAAGGATGGGGCCTAGTATGTAATCAGCAACTGGGCGGCTTGGCGCTGAGCTCCTCGCATAAAGCAATGAGCATCGTCTTAGGGAAACAAAATAAACCTAGACTATAGCAGCCGTCTAAAACTGGCCGGGCTTTTCTGCCATGGCAGCCATGAAAGCCATAAGAAATAAGTAGAAGGTGGAAAGGGGAGACGGCAGGAGACTCAGAATGAGACAGACAGAATGAAATGCCATGCAGCTAACACCGTGCGTGCTTCACGGTTTGGAAACGGGGAAATTTAGAACATGGACTATGGCTCAAATAGCAGGTGGATGGATAGATAGATAAGATAGACAGACAGACATACACACATACACACACACACACATATACATGCATAAATATTGACTTGGTATATATCAGCATATGTGTATCAGGGGTCACAAGCTGCCCTTTTCAGGAGTTGTGAGCAGCAATCGGCATTACCTTTGAGGGGTTGATTACAATGTTTCTGGCAGAGCCGTGCTCGTCTCCCGTGAAGGCTGGCTGATTGTTGAAACCCTGCTTCACGTTCACGGCAGTGAGCTCATCCTGTGCAAGAGAACAGAAATGCTTCAGATCAATCCAGACACCGCAGCCTGAGGAACAGCTCAGTTCACCGCTGTCTGTGGGAGAAGGAAGTCGAGGGGACAGTAACCAAGAGAGCAGAAACCTGTTCAAAAGCCAATGCGGCCGTCCGTGAGCAGGGAAAGGGCAGTGACGGCGGTAAATGCTAGCACTGATTCCGCCTGTAGGGCACAGAGGCTGGTTGTTGGGACTGCTGACTCAGCTTACAGGAGGAGCGGTAGTCAGTCTTGACTGCCAGCCTGGCAGGGTTTAAAGTCATGGTGAAAACACACCTCTGGGTGTGGATAGGAAAAGTCAGGCTGAGCAGCAGGACTCACCCTGACAATGGTGGTGCCATACCAGGAGACAGGGACCCCGGACTTGAGAGAGAGGGCAGAGCAAGGCGAGGCCAGCACTCCCATCGGCTTCCTGACCGTGGGCTCCGTATACCCAGCCACCTCGCCCGCCGGCAGCAGTGACTTCCCTGCCAGGGTGGACAGTTATCACCTCAACCTTAAGCCCAGATCACCCTCCCCTACATCATCACCTCTTGGGGGGGGGGAGATTTGTCACTCACAGCAGGGAGAAGAGTAACTACTACAAATGCCCTACTGTCTTAATTGCCTGCGGGTTCCATTAACTCCGCTTTGCTTTCTTTCTTTCTTTCTTTTTTTTTTTTTTTAAGTTATTCCAGACAGGGTTTCTCTGTACTGTTTTGGAGGTTGTCCTGGAACTCGCTCTGTAGGCCTGGCTGGATTCGAACTCACAGAGATCCGCCTGCCTCTGCCTCCCAAGTGCTGGGATTAAAGGCGTGTGCCACCAAGGCCCAGCAAGTTCCATTAGCTCTTAACTTATGAGCTGGAAAAAGAACAAAGCGGCAGCTCCTTCCCTCACACACAGAAACAAGAGGCCGTAGAACTTCTTAAGTTTTTTTTTTTTTTTGGTGGGGAGGGCTGGTTTTGTCCTTCTTGAATGTGGCTCCTGGGGACTGCACTGTCTAGTCACAAGGCTTGACAGCAAGCTCCTTTTCCAGTTGGGTCATCTCACTACCCAAGACCATAAACCGCTCCCACCGGAACTGTCCTGAGGAACTCACAGTTGGACTCTCCTTCCTGGGCGCTTCCCCTATGTTTTTTAATATTTACTTATTTGTATGCGCGTGTGTACGCTGCCCGCATGAATGTCTGTGAACCACACACAGACAGTGTCTGCAGAGGCCGGAGGAAGGCGGCATTGGAACTGGACTTACAGACCATGTGATTAACTCGGGTCCTCTGGGAGAGCAACCAGGGCTCTTACCTGCTAAGCAAGCTCTCTAGCTCCTGGCCCTGTTTTAGATTCAACAAAGCTCTCCCATCCAACTTATCAAAGACCCCATAGTGAGTCAAAGACGTGAATGTTTACAGTATAAGCTTTGTGGTAGCGAGCATGGCCCACCCACACATACAGCTCGGGATGAGGGGTGGGCAGGGGGGGGCACTAGTTTTATATATTCTAGTTCACTTAATCCTTACCGACTTAGGTACTATAGGGTCAAATCCATTTCGCAGGTAAGAAAAGCGACATACACCATACTAGTCCACTGTCTGGGCAAGCCGACACTGAAATACTATCCTTAGAATGATCCTAGACTACAAAGAGACATACCCATAACACAAAGAACAAATGTCACAGGACAATGTGGTCTAAAAATACAGTGCTACTCCTACGATCCTTAAAATGACCTCCTGAATGGATGTGAAGAAACTTTTCCAAGTTTAAACACATCAAAAAAAGTATTATTATCATTCCAGGCTATTTTATTATATAACACAATATATAATAATTGTACATAATATTAAAATAATAATTTTAAGATAACATAATATATAATAATTATCACTCTTAATTATTAGTGTTTGATTATTGTTTTTCAAGACAGGGTTTCTCTGTATAGCCCTGGCTGTACTGGAACTTGATTTGTAGACGAGGTTGGCCTTGAACTCAGAGATCTACCTTCCTCTGCCTCCTGAATTCTGGATTAAATGTATGTGCCTGACTAATACCCTGGAATTTTAGAAACTGAAAAAAAAAATGCATGACCTCCTTGCCCTACCCAGTTTATCACTGAGTTCTAGAATAAATCAGAGCTTGAAAATACAGAATGGAAAACAGAAGTTGTAAGAAATGAGGCAAGAAACAGTCTCAGTGACTGGGTTGATGGTACCCCACAACACAAAAGACAAAATGACAGACACCAGACATAAATGTAAAACAGAAAGGAAAAAACTGTTCCATGGGCTGCTGTGGTTACCTTGGCTGAGAACTTCAGCCTTCTAGAACTGCATTATGCAACTGCACTGTGTGTGCATTTGTGGGTATCTCGGCAGGCACTTTCAAAGGACCCCAACACAGGAAGCAAAGCTCTGTGGTAAGCAGGTCTCCTTCCAGCTGAGGTGGCCACTCAAATGACGGCTCACCCAGAAGACAGATTCCTTAACCATTCCAAAAGACACCTCAAACCGGTCATCCATTTTCAAAACACTTATTCAAAATTGTAAGATAAGACTACCCAATGTATGTTTTAAGACAGGAAGATTTTGATCACCCTTAAGAAGCAGTTAATAAAAATGTGTCTACAACACCAGGGTTACAAATGTAGTCATAAGAGAGTATCCTAAGAAAACGGCGTGTGAATTTGCCTGTGATTTGCCCCTAGGGTGTTGGGGGAAACACTGAGTGTCAGCAATTATTTTTAACTCACAAAGGTTGTGATTTTCTCAAAAGAAAATTCTAGGCTTCTGAGAGCAGCTGGTTCTGCAGTCATCTCTACTTTCTCCTCTCAACTGACACCTCACCTTGCCCCCAACTCCTTTGAGTGTTAACCACTTCAAATGGAATGGGGTTCTACAAAAACAAAACAGGTTAAAAAAAAAAAAAAACGTAAGCCAAATGTGCATGATGGTCTAGTTTCTGAAGTACCTGAAATGAACAAACACCAATGGCAAAAATCCAAATGAGTTAAGAACAGAAGACCCTCAAGTGTTTACTACTGTTGACAACATTTCTCAAACCCCAATGCAGCACCAATAGACTCCCCTTGAGGGAAAAACCATCCTCTCCAACCTGATGATGTCTGCAGATCTAACTTTGAAGGAAACTGGCTAGGATCATGGCAGCATTAAGAGATTTACACAAAAGGTGATGGGTGTTACATGCATTCACACAGGAAGCTTCCATGACTGCTCTTCAAGCTTTGCCAAGATTAGGTGTAATTAGAAAAGAAAAGACTCCAAAGTCGGAACAGAATGATTCTGATCTGTTAGGGACACAAATAGCTTCCTCCCTATGAACTTTGAGCCTCTTCAAAGACCATCAACTGTTACGATGGCTTTCCTTGCAAAGACAGGGAGACAGACCACAGCCATTACCTTAAAGCCAAGGTAGTATTACACCAACCATGTTGCTCACAAAGGGAACTTCTATTCTGAAAGTAGCTATAACACAGATAAAGGAGGAATCCTACACTCCTTCCATGACTTCCACTAAAACACAAGCCTTGCACAGGAGTGCCGGCCAGAGCTACAAGATGATACCTTGTAACAAAAAAAGACAGCACATGCCTTCAGCAAATTTAGAAAGAAAAAAAGAAAACACCTAGGGAAGCCCAGGGTTCACATTTTTCTCTACATTTTCAGAGTCTGTATAGATAGAAAGATCAGACATTTGGGAGGTACGAGCAAGCTCCTAATGTAACCGTAATTCACACACACACAGTCACACACACACAGTCACACACACAAGCTGAGGTTGCCATTTTTCTGTGTCATTTTCAAAGCAATTGTTTAATTCCAACAAAATATTTCACCAGGAGAGGTGCTTAGGTGGAGACCTAACTGCCTGAGAAGAGAACCAATTCCCAAGAGCTATCCTTTGGCCTCCACATGTGTGGCACAGGGCACGCGCACAGGCGCACACACATACACACTTTTTTTTTTCCTAAGTAAAAAAAGATCTCTTTGGAGAAGTGAACACATTTTGTTGGCAGTCTAGAGACTGCTAGAGCTCCTTCTCAATGGAGAAACAAAACAAACAAAAAAAGGCCACTTAGTGCAGATTCCAAAGACCATGTCAAAGGCAGATTAATAAATGTTACATTAACACATGCACACGCGCACGCGCACACACACACACACACACACACACACACACACACCTGTGCCCTTGTCCACCCTCACCATCTAATACAACAGGCTCATGCAGAGGCTCCCAATGGTCTTGACCACCGTGTTGTCTAACAAACTTGGGACCACTCAAGGAACTGGACAGAAGTCTCTGCTAGAGATGAAGGCCATCAATTAACAGAAAACCATCCCCTTCGCTGCTGCCCAGGAAGACTGGTTACAACCCATCTCACCCAGACACAGGTTTTAGAAAGTTTTATAACGACTTTTTGTGGCCTGTACCTCTCTCTCAAAAGAGAATTCTCTCAGACCCCTGAGGCTGTCTGCTGACCCTTGTTAGAACAATGTTAATATCTGTGACTGAATGGCATGAGGTTCATGCCCAAGATAGCAGGATAATCCCCACCATAGACAGAGTTTAGAGCCCTTGGGAAATGCACAAGATTAACAGGCATAAGGGTTCTGCAACCTTACAGGAAGAATCACTCCCCCACTTACTGTGTCATTAACGCAACGCTTCTCACAATGCATACTCTCACACTCCTTCTTTTGAAGCATTTCATACCCCTCTCGCTGCGGCCTGCCGATGCTCACTGCCGCCTGTCACTCACCTTGCTTCTGTCCTGCCCACCTCCTAGCTGCACTGAGATTCCCGAAATAGTGTTCTCATCCGTAATGACCTCATCCAAAAACTGCAGAGGACTTTCCCTGTTTCTGTCCTCTAAAGAGGCTAAAGAAAGATCTAGCATAACTCCATAAAGGTCATCGATAATGCCGGAGGCCTTTTCCCTGCCAGCCTCTGACCACAAATCAAAGCATGTC